GAGGGCAACCGAGTTATCAAGTGGATCAATGGGTAATCGGATCGACGTAGATCGCGGATCTAGCGTAGGTAGAAATCTCCTTGAGAACGCCTCCTATCACGCTGGATCCTGGTGGCGCATAACGCAAGTCGCATTATTCACTCTACCCTATAAGTATCTCTCCATGACGTCATTGTTGTAACGTAGCTTTTAAATAGAATGTAAAAATATCTCGATGGCATAACGAATCGAATTTCTTCTTTATTTACTTTCAAGTGGGGAAAATTAAATTAAACTTGAAATTACTAATAAAGTTATTTGCATTAATTAACTTCGATAATTTATTGATCGAAACGATAATAATAATTGGAAATAATTGTAATTGTCTGAGATTATATGAAAAGCGGATTCGATTATAATAGCTATTATTCAAACGTTTTAATAAATAGTTACTTAAAAAGTAATTTTATTCGAAATTTTTAACCACTTACTTTTTCAACCAATTAATGCCCATTGTCTATTTTTCGGAATCTTTTATCTACCAAGATAATTTTTTAAAATTATCGGATTTCGGAAAAAATCTCTCAAATCTTTGGAATTTATTTATTTACTCGAAAAAGTAAAAGTAAGTCTCCTTAATTACGGTTATCTTCGTGAAACATTCACGATCGAAAAAGATGCGAAACTGAAAGATTTAAAGATATTAAATGAGCATTGTTGAACGTGGGTGTATAGAAATTCCAAAAGGATTGCTGACTCGTCCAGAATTCGAAATTCGGATTTATTCAAATTAGATACGAACGCCCTTGTGAATTACGCAAGGCGATGAGTTTCGATGGATCAGTTAAAAAATCATTTTACGCAATGGCTCGTTCTAAACTTGGCCGCGTCACTCACAACTTTCTCTCTCGAGTTAAACAAACGCGAGATTTTCTATTGACCGCTCTCCTGTGATAATGTTCTCTCCTATCCGTAAGTGGAAAAATCGCAATTACTCTATCCTTTTGGATTAATCTTGTTTTTCACAGTCAACAAGTTGCAAGAGTAAGAGATCTTGAAACACGCTCGTCACCGACACACGATCTGATTAATTATTTTCACCACGAACAATTTCATCACATATGCGCGTAATCGTACAGTTTATTATTTGTGAACTGATTAGATAGATTCTATAAATTCGTTAACGTAATTATTTTTAATAATACACTTTGCATTAATCCAAATAAAAATCGTTCGTATACAGAGCAAAGTTTATTAAAATACGATAAACGAATGTAAATGAAAAAGTGTTTGGAACGTATCGTCACGGAAAGTATACTGTTCACTGCTGAGAAGTCTCGCGACACAGTAGCAAAAAAAAGTCCTTCGCTAGGATCATATATCCCCACTTCAGACGCTTTGTTGACAATCCTGACACCTGACACGCCACACAATAATAGAAGAGCTATAACTTGAATATTCAAAATCGTAAAAATTATATTTCATTTACGAAGTTACGTTAGGATAATCATCCAAGATTGGAAACTGAAAATGTTTTCGAAACTATTAATTATTTTTATATAATATTAATATATCTATATAATATGTCCAAGCTCATTCGTGTACGTACAATTATTATATCTTAACTACTCGAATATAAAATTACATTTATAAATTATTATTACAAATTATAATTACATATTATGAGAAATAAAAATTTTTTTACATTATATAGATACGTTAGAATTCTCTGGATTCTATGCCAGATATTGGACATTAATCTAAAAAAAATAATTAATTAAAAATTTCGAATAAAGTTACTTTAAGTAATTATTTATTAAAATGCTTGAATAACATTTATTCGTAGATATTATAATAGAATCCGCTTTTCACGTAATCTCGTTTTTCCTTATGATTATTTGCAATCATTATTATGAACAATAAATTATCGAAATAACTTATGTAACTAATTTTATTCATAACTTCAATTATTAAATTTAGCATGGAGATGTAGATACAGATTGTCGTTTTGGATGAGTATATGTGACAAATATAACACAGAAAGAAAAATAAAAATATTGTAATAACGCATATTGGATTCCTTCCACCGGTGAGCACAGTATTTATATCATCTTTTTAAACAGCGACGAAAGTTCACGCTCGATTCTCTTTTGCATCGGTACGTGTGAACTGCTCGTAAGGGAGCGTTTAGCGGTTCACTTCCGGTATTGGCTCTCCTATCGACTTCACGGTGAAACGTTTGTGAAAACGAGCTCGGGAGAGCTCTTAAGAGATCCCGCGCCGATATTTAAAAGAACACCAAGTAAAAGTAGGCGTGGCAACGATAGATTGTGTCTCTTTCTCCGCCGTGCACAACTTCTCGTGCAAATGTTTGCCAATACTTTGAAATTTCTGTCCTCTCTTTGCTCTCCTCTTTGATTTTTATGCGGGAACACGTATTTCCTGTATTTTTAGTTTTCTCTTTTTCCTCGTTTTTTTCTTTTTTCTTTTTTTTTTCTTTTTTTTTTTTTTTCCTTACTAAGATTTTAAAATTACACGTTCCCTCCCCCCCTCCCTTCGAGTTCTGTCTTTTCAAGATTTATGTTCCTCGCGAGAAGATACAAGCACTCGCGGTGATCACGGAAATTTTTTTTAAAACTTCGTTCTTCTCGAGTGCGCCGCAAACGTTTGCATCCTCCTCGAGAGTGTCCAATTTTTGTCGTCGAGAATTTGCTTTGAATCCCTTTTTTTTTTTTTTTTTTTTTTTTTTT